ACTGTGGAAAACTGGGCAGAATAAATCAGCTGAGAGCAGGTGAGTGGAGCACCAAAGAGGATATGATGGGGCTTCCTACTCAGCTCATGCCTCCGTCCCAGCCATCTTATTGATTTGTGCTATGAGAGCAATTAAAACTGCTCTTTCTGGAAGCCTGAGGGTAACTTTGGCTGCATGGGGACAACTGGCAGAAAACCTGAAGATAGCTCAGACATCTTTGKTTTTTTTTCATTTCAGCTTTTTAAAATCTCATGTGAATCTGGTTCCCCAACAAGGAGTTTAGGTATAGGTCAGCTCAGCAGTAAGAGAAAATTAGAAATAGTGTCCCCATATTTTGGCATCYCAGGGCTGCTTTGCGGATGGTGCAGCTTAAGCTTGATACTAGGCTTCAGGTTCACACCTATTGCATCTCCCTCTACCCCATGCTGATACTTAACTACTGACCTGCAGCTGGGCTATTTTTTCAGACGCATGTGAAAGGATTCATATTTCTTTCAGAAACTCTCTGTGCTCTGCTGAGAAGCACTCTCCCCTTGTCTTTTACCACTCTCTTTTTAGTAAGAAAAAAAAAAGAGTTCTTAGACAGTCCTTGTACACTAGTACTTTTCGGCTAGGTTGTAATAACCACTGCAAGTCCAGCTTGACACAYCTACGCATCTAAAACTGAGTCAGCTTTACCCTAGCGCCAGTGAGAATTTCATCAGGATATTTCTGAAGGGCAAAGAAACAGCCTGCGCTGGAGAGAGAGCAGTTCAACCAATCATCGCCCACAAGATGATATGGGAAAAAGAAACCAGGCCACAATCTCTCCTAAGGGAGAGTTGCTAATTGAGCTCTGTAGGCTCAGCTCCTAATTTTGTGCCTATGTCTGAACAACTGCAGCAGCCGAATACGTCCGCACTGCACAGGAGCCAATAGCAGTAAGTCAGRTTTATTAGAAATCTGCTTGGGGGTTAGAAACAAAAGGTAGGTCAGCAGTAGAAGTGCAATGGGAAGAGCAAGCTCATCCGCAGGAACCTTAGCTGGAGGTGGCACTTTGGAAGAATTAGGAGCAGCACCGGCTCCAGAGGCTCAGCAAGGGCAGGGATCCGGCTCTCCACTTCTCACTGCAAACCAGCACATCGTGCAATCCCTCAAGCTGTGGAAAGCGAGGGACACCCCAGCTGAACACATCCCTCAGGGGCTAACAGCAGCAAAGGGAACTGAGGGGTCCTGAGAAGTGGGAGAAATGTCATCCCTTACAAAATTATCTTAAGAGGACCTTTTTTGTTGTTGTTGTTCAAAAWCAGAATAACTCTAAAATATAACAACAGTTATTTGGGTGAAGCTACTTTGGTAAAACCAGTGGAAAATAAGCTCTTTTACTTCAGTGGAGCTCTATTAGCCATGGACATCCTTCAAAAGTGCTGAACAAGTTTGTCTCAGGGCTTTAAAGGGCTTTGTGTTCTACACCCTGCCAGTTTAAATGATGGCTGCAAAGATATGTTATAAAACTTTTTCCAGGAGAGGCAAAAGCTTTTTCTGTGTCAGTTTTTAATATACTGTGACTCTTACTCAGAGCAAATTAGGTTATTTATCCCCTTTATTTATATGCACCGCTCTAGCAGCATAACAAAACAAAGTGATAGATGCATCTATAGTGGTAGTTAAACTCCACAACAAAGAAACAGCAACCGCGTGTAACTTTATCCTATTGTTATCAATTTATATAAAAGACAAATTCTTCAAGCTGTGAACATGTGCAAGTAAATTCTCTACCAATCTGGACTTTCCAGCAATTACTCTGTCCTCTGATCTCAAACCTTCCCCCAGGCAGCTCTGACATCACTGGGGTCTGATGTCAATCTCAGAGGCTTCATCCCAATTCACTTTACTCATTTCCATGGAAGTTGTTTGTTACCATGTGACTATCAGAGAAGGCAGGATCAGGCCAGYGGTAAGAAATGCAGGATGCAGAGCTCCTCCATTCTGCAGCCCTGAGTTTAAGCCAAAAGCAAAATGTCAAAGGCAAAAGCAAACCTTAGTGGACTGCGGACTAACTCCACCTGCGCTCTGCAGATAAATTTTACATTTAAATGTGCAGGTGCTACCCCCGCTGCAGTCAATAAAAACTGTGTGCAACCAGCATTATCTGTCACCAGCTCAGCAGCCCATCCTGGACTTCCTTTGCTGAAAGGGAGAGGAGCCTTTGGGTGACAACCTCCGCTGGCATCAGGATTAAATTATTTTAGCCGCTTGTGCCGACTATCTTAGTGCTACCAGCTCCCTATTTATATTCACCTAATTTACGCTATTCATTCACATTCTATTCCAAACTGAAATTCTATTTCACTGGTATATTAAAAATGAGGCTAACAGAGAACAGCACTTAAAAAAAAAAATAAGTAACAGATGGAAAAGTCCATAGAATTCTGCAAGCATAGTTTCCAACTTTAAAACTAAAACAAACAAACAAAAACAGGTAAYCAGTATCTACCTTGCCCAGTGCTTACATTTTATTGCACTAGGCAGTGCATCATTTTGAGATAGATACAGAAAGCATGGAGAAAAAACARAAGCCAAATTACTTGTTATATTTCTAAATGTAGATTTCTGAATATATGGTATACAGGAATATTACAGGAATATCCCTCAAGAAACAATGCATCCATAAATACAACATGTTTGTGCTTGTATATCTCAGCTGCTTTCTTTAGAAGTACTTTCTGCTGTCGTCTCCCAACCTGGTTGCATCATACATCATGTCATATGGATGATTTGGGATTTTCTCTCTTTGGAGATGTTAACTCTAAAATTTATTTTCCTGGTGTCCCAGGTTTAGGAGAAGAAAGCTACTGTGATTCATTAATTGCTTTGCAATTCATGAAACTTCTCTCTTAAATGGAATAAATAAGTGGATAAACTTCTCAGGGATTTACAATCATTATTTGCTTTTGGCATGGGGTACAATTTCAACTTTTTTTTAATGTTAACCTTTTCTTGTCATTCACATTCATCCTTCATTTTTGTATTTTGAACATTACGTGTTAATTTAGCAAACCACATCTTTTTACTTCACAGTAATAACTGCTATGATTTCACCACTTGCTTTATTGCTTTGAGCACATGCTTTTGCACGCGTGTTGCCCTGATCATCTCCCGCTCAACAAATATGTGCACTGCAAAGCTACAGTCCTAGAGGTATTTACACAGATGCATTACTTAAAGCACAGAGGAAGCAGAATAAAGGTTATCTAAGCACTACGCTAATTGTAAGTAAAAGCCTGCTATTTGCCAAGTCAGGTACTGTTTAACCTGAACAAAGACAGCAAAATCTGCTTTTGGATTTTTTTTTCCAATATCTAGCAAGCTGAAAGACCATAGCAGGAACTGCATTGCAAGCACGGTAAATATGTATCTTTCTAGCATAAGCAAGACGTTGAATGTACAGGAGGGGCGATTAGTGACATTGGATACTCAGAAATCAGTGTCGCGAGCAGGTTTTTACTATAGCGAGTTCCTTTTAACCCTCATTTTCTCTCTCGCTGCCTTTGTGCTTGCCAATGGGAGAGCGCGGCACCGCGCTGCCTCCCAGCCCCCTTTTTACRAGCCACTCAATGCGTTTCTTCTCGGGAGACCCTTTGAGCTCAAAACACTCCCTTCATTAGAGCAGAGCCTCATCCTGAGGAGCCGAGGCCGTCCGCGGCGCTGCCGCCGTGCAGGGGCGCGAGCGCCCATCCCCTCGCGAGCAGAGAACCTCGTCCTGAACTTTCCCCGGCGGCGGCGGCGGCGGCGGCGGCAGGGAGACCTTCCAACGCGGCTCCCGACCCCCTCTCCCCCGCGCCGGCACCGCCCGCCCCACGCCGCGGCTTTGTGCTCGGCGGGAGCCCCGCGGCGCTGCCC